CGAGATGAAGTCGATGGTGCACGCGATATCACTACAGCGCCTTCTGGCCACATAGTGTGATACTGGTCATCGGGACTACCAGCTGGTGCAGGGCATGTCAGAGCATTGTTTCTATTGCCAGCAATATACGCATACAACCCTTCCAACATAGTAATAGTGCTAAGCTGATCAACTCCTTCTATGTACTTGGCATTGTTCAAATGGGCACATATATTTTCAAATGTTATCTTTATTTCACGCAATGTCGGTCCCTTGGACGTACTTGAGCTGCTGAGTAGTGGCATTATGAACCTAGGTTACTGTTATAGAAGACTGTTTAGACCAGCTAGTTAGTGAGCTGAGCGACATATTGTCGCATGCAGCTTCTTCGGCTGTGGCCAGGCAGTTGAGGATCGTATAGTTTGTTGTCAGCTGCTTCCATAGCTGCGTTACCACTGCTTTACGCGTGGGTGTTGCACGTGACCACGAGGATTTGTACACGTATTGTGTTGTATTCATCACGAATTCAACAGATGGTCGAGTATTGTCGGGTGTTGTAACTATATCTGAAACCTTTCTGTACCAGCACTGAGGATCCTTTGGGTTTGACTTGAAGAAGTACTTGAGTCTATCATATATCTCAGGCACGAAATCAGCTTCGCTCCAGCCTACCACACCAACAACGGTGGCGCCATTTACTATAATATGCTCCGGAGATAGATTTCCATGGCAAAACACAGCAGAGCCAACATATGGATCAGTTCCAACTTCAGTGCAGTCACTTGCATCGAGAGCTCCCGCGAGCTTATCTAAGAGCACTCTCGTACGTATGTATCCAGCAGAGCACGTAGTTCGCAGCGATCCGTCTTGTATGTGACCAAAGAACTGTGAAGTTTTCTTTGCGAGCTCCCAGGTAAGAGCCGTAATTTGCATCATAATTGCATCGATATCTTCTTGATCTAACGACGACATAATGGATTCCAGAGTCTGACCTTTAATAAACGACCGTATGCTAATACTAACATATTTCTTTCCATGTCTGACGACGCCTTTGTTTTTGTATACAGGAACGGTAATTGCATCTGCAGCAATTCTTGTAGCTATGTGATCTCTGCCATTCACATCTCGTATGTTGTTGCCCCATTTAATCGTGAGAACATCAGCATCTGTACTGTCGCTGTACGTAATCATCGTACATACTTTGCAAGGCCC